GCCTCAGCTTCCTGAGTAGCTGGGACTACAGGCACCCGCCATAATGCCTGGCTATTTTTTGAGACAGGGTCTGGCTCTTGCTCAGGTTGGTCTCAAACCTGTGAGCTCAGGCAATCTACCCATCTCAGCCTTCCAAGTCTTGGGATTACAGGCGTGAGCCACCCACACTCTCTAGGGTTTCTTATTCAAATCCATGACTATAGCTTATGACTCCCAATCTATACTCCCATTCCAAACTTTACCCAACTTCCAGATCTTTTTGAAAAAATCTGAGTGGTAAGTGTAAAAAGTAAACTGCAGATCAAAATAATCATATTTATATAGATGAAAACAACAGATATATGTGTGTATATATACATACGGAAATCCATAGGAAGGTTGCTGGAAGGATGATGACAAACTGTTGACAGTGGTTACTTATGAGGCAGAAGAGAAGGAGAGTGCTCATGGGGCTAGGAGAAAAGGAAGATATTCATGTTTGGCTGTTTATATTTTCATATATTATGAACATATTTATACATATTGAATTTAAGAAACAGTAGAGGCCAGGTGCAGTGGTTCACACCTGTAATTCCAGCACTTTGGGAGGCCAAGGCAGCAGGATTACTTATGGCCAGGAGTCCAACACCAGCCTAAGTAACAACATAGTGAGAACCTTGTCTCCACAAAAACAACTGGCCAGACCATGTGCCTATAATCCTAGCTACTTGGGAGTCTAAGGCAGGAGGATCCCTTGGGCCCAGGAGTTGAAGGCTGCAGTGAGCTGTGATCAGGTCACTGCACTCAAGACACTATCTCAGTAAAATAAATAAGGCCTGGCTCAGCGCAGTGGTTATGGCACCAGTCACATACACCCCGGCTGATGGGCTCGAAACTGGCCCAGGTCAACTAAACAACAATGAGAACTGCAACAAAAAATGGCCAGGCGTTGTGGCAGGCACCTGTAGTCCCAGCTAGTTGGGAGGCTGGGGCAAGAGAATCACTTAAGCTAAGAATTTGAGGTTGCTGTGAGCTGTGACATCATAGCACTCTACTGAGAGCAACATAGTGAGACTCTGTCTCAAAAAATATATATAAATATAACTATAAATGAATAAATAAATAAATAAAGCTGAGCATGTTGGTTCATGCCTATAATCTTAGCTTAGCACTCTGGAAGGCTGAGGTGGGTGGATTGCTTGAGCACACGAGTTCAAGATCAGCCTGAGCAAAAGCAAGACCCTGTCTCTACTAAAAATAGAAAAATGGAGGCAAGAGGATAGCTTGAGCCCAGGAGTTGGAGGTTGTTGTGAGCTATGATGCCATGGCACTCTACCCAGGGTGACAGCTGGAGACTCTGTCTCAAAAAAAAAACCCCCAAAACAAAAATGAAATAAATAAAATAAATAAATGACTAAAAACATTAAAGACCAAGTTTTATATAAGAAAGTTTGTAGAGGTGTTTTGTTTTGGCACTTGCTAGCATGTATACTAGTATAACCCAGTACAGATGGTCTTTTATACTTTCTTTTTTTCTGACACAGAGGCTGGCTCTGTGCCCAGGCTAGAGTACAGTGTCATGGTCATAACTCATTGTGCCCTCAAACTCCTGGACTCAAGAAATCCTCCTGTCTCAGCCTCTTGAGTCTTTTATACTATTGTTGTTTGTATTTGTTTCTGCTTTATACTAACCTAGTTATTAAAGATAAGGCTCATTTTTCAAAGTATTTGAGTTGCTTGATTAAATCAAGACTTGCCTGAGCGAGAGTGAGACCCCAACTCCTAAAAAAGTGGAAAAAACCCAGCCAGGCACCGCAGCAAGTGCCTATAATCCCAGTGGCTTCTGGAGACTGAGGCAGCGGGATGCCTATAACCCGAGTCTGAGGTTGCAGTGAGCTATGCCACCATTGCATTCTGCTCAGGGGCATAGGGTGGGACTCTGTCTCAACAACAACAACAAAAAAAGCAAAAATAAATAAATAAATAAATAAATAATAAAGTCCAGGAAAAATAATAATTTGATAGCAATTGGGATGTTACCCAACTATATGCCATTAATTTCATTGTAATTATGGATAAACATTAGTTAAATAATTTTATGTTCTTCTTTCAGAGCACTATAATTAAATATCATATATGAATGTGTTACAACCATACTAACTAGGAAATCATCTTTATTCCATAAATAGAATCACATCGCAAACAATTGCCTATTATTGACTCAACAGACCGAAGATTGAACAAAATGGAATTTTCAGAAGTAAGAAGTTACATTATTTCATATTTGAATCAATTATTTTGCCAATTGCAACTGTCTTTTGGTGGCTATCAAACGTAAGATTAACTTTAAGTTAAGTGAAAGCATAAAAATTTATTTTATCAATTCCAAGATACATACTTCAAAATATTTTAACCTCTCTGAAATTAAGTTATATTTTCTAATCAAAGTACCTTACATTTCTTTCTATAACACTCATGATATAAAAGTGTGAAAAACTTTCACTGATACCTTCTGGTAAGATTAAGAAAATCTAGTATTCTTATATTTGAAATATGGTTATACAAATAATAGCAAGATCTAAAACTTCCCATATCATCCCTCACCCACCTCTACAAATTAAAAGCCCAGAAATACAAATGAAACAAGCTACTCAAAAATACACAGAAGAATAAGTGATA